GTGACATTGCTCGTATCCGATTGGTCCGCGTAATGAGTACAGTTTCTCGAGATAGCGTTTCAACAATAGTAATTTAGTTCATAGTATTGTTTTTTTCTTCTACATAATGCCGTAATTTATTATTATAACTTAAAAAAAAAATTACAATTCCTTCACTAATTAATCGAAAGGAACTTCGTTCCATCCGGGTGTCCCTTGACACCTCTGAAGTTTTTTATTTATTTTGGCGGTTCAGGCCGATTTCAATACCTACTTAATTGCATTTTTTTTTATTTTTTTCCTACCTTTTTGGTCGACCTCAGTATATGGAAAAAGGATTTTAATTCGACTGTATATTTCTTCTGTGTGAATCGTTTTTGACTTTTATTTTTTTATTATAAAGCGTTATTTTTTTATGCTACGTGTCAAGTTCTTGGGGAGCCCGTTTTTCTCAAGATCCGACCGGTAGTTTTTGAATTATCCATAAGGCTACACGTTTAATTAACTTAATCTATCTATCTCTAATCTTGATGTTTCACTTCTTTAATTCCGTCGATTTCGATTTTTGTATTAATTATTAATGCAAATTTTTAGACATCTATATTTCAGTTATAAATTTATGTTTAGTAGAGGTCCCGCAGTAGTCGAAATTCGATTATAATTAATTGGAATTGTAAGTTTGTACACTATTATGATTGTTCTTTATACTTCTATAATCACAAATTTCGCCAAGACTACACTATGTCTACTAAAAATATTAACAAAGACAAACAATATTTAATCTCAATTTGACAACAGATGTCAAGAACAAAAGTTTGACAATAAATAGTGTGCATGCGTGTGTGCGTCAAATACATGGTATGTAGTGTGTGTAATGTTTTCTTTATTGATTTAATGTATCTTTTATGCATTACTTTAAAAAAATATTAGCATTGTGCACTTCTTCTCTATATGCTCTAGTGTGGAAAATTTCACACTCCTCCGTCCGCACAATTTTCGTAAAAAGGGATACAAAGTTTTTGCTTCACGTATTAATATATAACTAGTCAGGTCATAAGTATTGTCACACAGTAAAAACTTTTCTTTTAGAATGCTGGCCACAAAAAAGTTTATTGAATTCGAATTTCGAATTGTTCATGAAAATAAAAACTGTATACTTTTAGAATTTTACTCATTTTTAAATATGGAGTGGACGCTTTAACCCTTAATTCGACGGAGTGATTTTTTTAATTTAATTTGCAAAATCGTTCCAGATCTTGGTTCTTAGCTTATAAGAGACCCTAAAAAAATAATAGAAAAAAAATACCTTTTTCAGTTTCCTGAAAAATGTACGTCCATTATAGTGGACGTTATCAAGTTTATAGGAAACTGCTGCACTCCTACCATGTGCAGTATAGTTCCCACTGTCAAAGAGAAAGAATTAAAGAAACAAGTAATTTTTTTATAAAATATTAATTTTACTAAGCAAAAATTGTCTTCTTAAGAACTTACTAACACAAAATCTTCATAATAATCAACACGAATCTATATAAAAACAATCAGTCTTCTGTTTCCCAAAAGTATCACAATACAAATCAATCGAGAATAATTCTCATTATGTCTTTGGCATCTGTCTATTTATTTACTTAAGATGGAAATTATAAAAGCAATTTCTTTTGGTCACTAAGCACAACCTCTGCTTGCATTTAGAACAGAGTACATTCGTTTTATTGCCCTTGCAGAACTTACAACGTCCATACGTTGTATATTCAGGCCAGTGGCTATAGCCATCATAACGTACAGAATCTGGGGGCCTCGGTTTGCTAGGGTTTTGGATTAGCACCTTTTTCGATAACTGACTTGGTGCTTCTATTTGAACTGACCTTCCTTTTTGCGTCAATTCAACCGCCAATCTTTGTCTGAACTTTTTCAGACTAATGTTTTTTAGGCTCTTTTTGTTGCATTTCCTCTTATAGAGAAGCCAAGCATTGTTAACTGCTATATCTAACATTTGGCCAAAAATGTTCATGTACCAGCGTCGGCTTTTGAAAGATATTCTATAGAGAGCTATCAACATGTCGCACAGGTCGACTACTCCCATATGTTGATTATAATATCGAACTAATTGTGGACATGGGACACCCACTTTCTTTTTCTGTTCTTTACTCCATCTCTTGATTTCATGAACTGGGTAAGAATCTGCATAAGAACAAGCCAATGTCACAACTTTATTATCGTACCATTTGACAATTGCTATCTTTTTGTCGTTGTCTACGACTTGGCTAAACGAACCTCTGCCTCTTTTCTTTAGTTCCTTGTCACTTAACAGGCCATTGGTGCAACCTTTCAGTCTATTTTGTCGTATGGTTCCGAGACTGAATATTCCTCGGCGTTCACGTAGATACCAGATCAAGTCGAGCGTCGTGAAATAATTATCGAAATAAACAGCACATCCTGGAGTCTCAATTGTTTTACAAAGGGCTAATACCATTTTAGCACCCAGTGTCATTTGCTGTTCCTCCTCGCTAAAATCGATGTACCGGAAAGTGTCATCGCCACCGTACAATAAAAAATCATAGACAATTCCAGATGCACCAGCGCGTACTAAGTTCTTGAATCCCCATTTATTGGGTTTCATAGGGTTGTACTGTCTCCGGTTTCCTGCTTTAGTGCCCTTGTATGGTATGGTCATTTCATCTATACTGTACTTCATTTCTTCTTCTGTGGAAAGGCAGTTCCTTCTTATTTTTTCAATGAACGGACGTATCTTATAATATCGGTCCTCATCCGGATAGGTGTTGTCCACAAAATGAATGTTGCGTCTGATCTGCTCGAATCGTTTTAATGGCATGATGTCGGCTACTTGGGCATATCTGAATTCTGTAGACCAATAGTCTAGATAAGAAGGCATTTTCACTATACCCATGATAAGAAGTATTGCAAGAAAATCTTTCAACTGCTCGATGGTCAATTGCATACATTTTCCAGTTCTATGGGTTGAGTACAAGTTCGAGTTGTCAACAATATCGATGAGTATATCTGGAGACATGAACCGATAAAAAAAGTCCAACGGAGAGTCAGTATTCGGTAGATCAAAGACGAAGTCATTTGATTGAATGTCAGCCTTATGCTTGAATTGTGCTTTTTTCCATTTGTAGCTCACAATTAGTGCTTTCTTGGTAGTTTTTGCTCGGACAATTGGCATAGCTCGTGTTGGTAGTTTCCTTTTACGTCTGGTTTTTCTTGGTGTTATTGGACTAGCCATAGATGAAGCATTTGATGATGGAATTGACAATAATGAAGCCAAACTTGGTAAAGCATTATAATTGACTTCACCACTCGGTGATAGCACGTCATTAATGACAGGAGTCAGCGGAGGTGGAGGAGGTGAAGTGTTCTCTTGTTTGTCACTTCCCGAACTATCAAATATGTTCATGCGCTCAAGGTCTGAGTCGATGGAAGGACAGGGTGAAGAAGATAACTCTTCAGTTCTATGAACCATAATTTCCTCTTATTTTCGGGTTCTGAACCACTATCTATATCCGAAGGAGCGTTTTGAGGCGGCACTAATGCTACTAAAAGATGTCCTCTAGACTTAAAGCCCTGCAAAACAAAATAAATAAGATGTAAAGAGTTTTATCTAGGGAACCCTAAAAATTTTATTACGAAAAATTAATTTTATCTGCGGGATCCCTAATAATTTTATTGCGTGAAATATGTAACAAAAGTTTAATTTTCTATAATTACGGCAACAAGAAATATATTAGAAATATGATTTTGTATCTAGTTGTCAACCAATTTGGCAAAGTGAAGAATACTGGACATAGTATTAAGCTATTACTTTTTTAGTATTTCGACATTGGGAAACATACTGGACATAGGAGTTGCGACCGTTATAAAAACTAAATAAAACTAAGTAAGACAATAAAAATACTGTAAGTAGCTATCCAGGTATATTATCTTTAGTTTTCAATGAATTCCAAGAAAAAAAAAACCGTAAAATAATGAATAAAACACGACTTACCGAAAGCCCTCGCGGCGCGTCCTTCCTTCCCGCCATCTCGCCGGCGATTGTTCGCGTCCGGATCAAGTGCACCCGTTGCTGATTTTTGACAACGTAGGTAAATAATTAAGGATGCATTATAGTACCCAGAGCTCTGAATATATGGTCTATTTTAATATGCAGTTTTTTTTCCGTTGAATGGGAAGCATACTGCACATAGTCGAATTAAGGGTTAAGAAGACCGTGTTGCAGTTATTGCGTTGCATCGTTGCGGTTACGCGCCAATTCAAATTTTTAACATACTGAAAAATTTGAATATAACCAAAAGATTCGTTCATCGTACCATCAAACGATACAATGAAGACTCTAGTGTAGATGACAGGTCAAGAAGTGGTCGCCCTCGGTCTGTTAGGACTCCAGCAGTGATAAAAGCTGTGAAGGCGCGAATTCAAAGAAATCCCAAACGTAAGCAGAAACTGTTAGCCCTTCAGATGGGGTTAAGCAGAACCACGGTGAAAAGGGTATTAAATGAAGACTTAGGGCTTCGGGCGTATCGAAGAAAAACAGGACATCGTTTGAATGCTCGTCTAATGGACCTGAGACTGAAGAGATGCCGCGCTTTGTTGAAGTGGTACGCGGGAAAAAATATCGGGAAATTCTTTTTTCTTCCGTAGAAGAGAGCTACAACAAACAAAATGATAAGGTGTACGCACACAGTAGTGAAGAAGCGAGCAACCGTATTCCGCGTGTCCAACGAGGTCATTTTCCATCCTCGCTCATGGTATGGTTGGGAGTTTCTTATTGGGGCTTAACAGAGGTACATTTTTGTGAGAAAGGTGTAAAAACGAATGCAGTTGTGTATCAAAA